CGCCCGGCGGGGCGCCAGCTGCCCCACGCTGCTCGCGACCTCTTCGAGGGGCCGCAGCAGAGGCGCCTCAAGATCAACTGGGGCAAAACGGGGTGGATGGCCACGTCTCAGGAGCTGGACCGCCACTGGTCGGTCTTTGGCCTGGCCAGAGCCTCGGGCGCGAGGTGCCTTGGAGGCGACGGCAACGACGGCAGCTGGAGGCGAGCACCAGAGCAGGACAAGAGGCTCGCCCGAGCCAAGAGGGCAGCAGGCAGGATCGAGCTGCTGCAAGCCGCGGGGGCCAAGACGTGCCACATCTTCCGTGGCTCACCGTGCGCCGCGGCGTGTTGGGATCGGCGGTCACTGGCATCGCAGACGGTAAGCTAAGCGGGCTCAGGGTGCACGCGCTCAGAGCCGAGGGCAGGCTGGCCCCCGGCACCTGCCTGGCCTTCAGGGTGCGCACCGTGCCGAGGGCAGCTGTCAGGGGCCCGTTCGTGGTCAATGCGGTGGAGGTGGCCAAGGCGTGGTCCGTCGGAGTTCGAGACGGGCTCCACCAGCAAGAAGTTCTTAGAGTGGTTCACGCTGACGGCGTGAAGCTGCTAGAGGTCGACAGGCCGTGGAACAGGTGCATTGGCCCGGGCCAGGCTGCCGCGCTCAGTCTCGCCAGGGCTGGCTGCCAGCTAGTTCGGCACAACCTGTTGCTCGATGGCCGCCAGCGCGAGATCGACCTCGAGGTTTTGTTCGCCAGGTGCTGTCTGCCAGGCAGTCCGTGTCTCTGCCTGTGCCGCTTCTGATGCCACTGTTCTGAGGAGGATTGGGAGTCCTTGGGTTTCTGAGCTCCGCTGGGGGCTTGCGGTGTTGGCTTTGGCGAGACGAGCTGTGGACCAAGAGGCGCGTCGATGCTTTCCGATCAGTTAATTGCGGGGCCCGCTGGAGCCAGCGCAGTCTTCACGCGAAAGGGAAAGCCACCCACCCGGTTCGCGTGACATGCGGGGCCCGTGGGGCCCTCTGGCACCGTAGTTTCGATTGCCCTAGCACGGGGTTTCTCAGAAGAGAGTGTTGCCCACCAGAGTTGCCCAAGGCGGCTCGCATTGCCCTCAGAGAGGGTGAGGAGTGCGGAGAATAGTTTGCCAGAGGCCTCCTGCCCTCGCCGTCGAGTGTCTTTCAGGATCGTAATATCCCAGAGGGGGATCACATCCGCCTCGTGGGGTGCATGCCTGGATGGCTCTTCGGGGGAGAGGTTTTTGTGGACGGCTCCTTTTTTTATAAACCCAGCATGGTGGCCTGCGCCGTGCGGGATGGGCCGTCAACAGCTGCAACGATGATGGCTCGTTCAGATGTGGAATGTATGGTGCCGTCCCCTTGGCACGGTCTTCGACGCAGTCCTTTAGGGACGCGGAAGATTATGCGTTCCACATGTTGTCGCGTTTCTCGGTTGTTTTTGCGAGCGACGGGTCCCTTTTTTTTCTGATCGCGCTGGGGCCATAGGCTTTGCCAGGAACGCCTCGAAAGCGCTGGGCCCATGAATCCCAACAAGCATTTTTGGGGGAGCTGGTGGCGGAAGCACAGGGAAAGTGCGAATGTGAGAAAAGTGAAGGCACGCTCGTCGGCATCCCAGGATGCCTCCTTTTCCGATGCATGGTGCAGGCTTGGCAACAGTCTCGCGGACCGCTGGGCCAAAGAAGGGGCCCTGCTCTGGAAGGTGCCCCCCTCAGAAGGTCCCCTTCCTGGAAGCATGCGAAGACATCGCTGCCAAACTCGTCAGTTGGATAGGTCTTGTGCACGCGTGAAGAAGAGACCGCGAGGCCTGGGACACTGAGGGTGCGGTTGGCAACTCGGATGTTGTCCTTGGCCTAGAGTATGACACTGAGGATCGTGACGCCGCGGTCCTCGAGGCAGCTTTCAGGACCCGCGAGAAACTAGACTGGAGGCTCGCCGCCCCTGCCCCGCCGCCACCCGGGCCCGAGCCCGAACCGACCGATGTTGGGGGCGTGGATGCGGGGGTGGTGTCTGGGAGGCCGTGGCTGTTTCAAGGGCACTCGGTGGTGAAATGTGACGTGGAAGGTCCCGATAACCCGTGCTTGTTTTTTTGCCAGTCCTGCGGGGCCTCGCTGGCCCAGCGAGTGGTGCCTGGGAAGGGCATTGCGGGGGCTTGCCTGGGCCCGAGGCACCCTGGGTTTCGCTCCCAGAGGCCCAGTCTCCGTAGGCACCTCCACCCCTCGGCCCTCCATCCTCCTCCGCGGCTTTCTGTTTTTAGAGGCCCCGAGGAAGAGGACGTCTTGTGGCTCCAGGGGGAGCTGGGGGTGCCTGGCGGTGGCGTTGGGTCCTCGGTCGGGGGTGGGCCCTCGCTGGGGCCCGCTGGCGGGCCCCCTGGGTGCTCTGCGGCCTGCGGCTCCCAGGCCCCCACCAGCTTCCATCAATGCGGGGGCGTGGTCCCCGTGCTGGACCTGGGGCGAGTTGCTCGCCTGCATGGGTTCGCCTAGCCCGATTCGACGGTTGAATGGGCGGAGCACTGCAGGCGAGCTAAGCTCGAGGCCGAGGCCGCCAGGGCCTGGCCACTAGAGGGCGTCTAGGCCCTTTCTCGCCGTTGCGGCGGCAGGCGGACTTCGTCCGCACGACCCCTAACCTAACCTAACTTAACCACTCCTCCTCCTCCTCCTCCTCCTCCTCCTCCTCCTCCTCCTCCTCCTTTTCCTCCTCCTCCGCCTCCTCCTCCTCCTGCTCCGCCTCCTCCTCCTCCTCGTCCTCCTCCTCCTCCTCGTCATCGTCCGTAGCCATTTTGGCTCAAGGCCATCTGCGCGCGCGTGTGGCGGGGGCGCATCGCGGAGCAACGTGACGCCCCGGGGCCTCCCGTCAGGATGCGGGAGGCGAAGCTGGAGCCCGGCCGCGGCAAGAGCAAGAAGAAGACGACCAATGCCGGGAATTGCGAGATCTTCAGCAAGGTCGTCTACCTTGGAGTAGTGATGGGCTTTGGCGAGCATCAACGAGATGTTGGAAGTGAGGCTGGAGCTCAATGTGCGGGTCCAGGGGCCATGTGTGGCGCGCTGCTACGCGGCGCAGGGAGATCGGCGGTGAGAAGGTGAGCGACTTCAACAAGCTGGTGTCTGAATGTGTACGTGAAGTGCGCACGTGCAGTTTGTCAACCTGTTCGACGACTCGTTGACGTCGAACTGCAAGGTGGGGTTCGCGTCCCCATCCAAGGGACGCGAGCTCAGGAACACCTGAGAGCCTGGGGGGAGGGTAGCAGCCTCGTGAATGCACGACGGGCCCCTGCGGTTTTGGTTTCGGGTCTTGGGCCCTCTGCAGCCCCGTCGTGCACTCGGGAGGGGGCGCGACCCCCCCCGGGGTCGGGGCGGCGCGTCCGTCGAGGGTCGGCGAGGGCTGCTGTGACAGACATCGGCCGCATAGTCTGCGCCCTCTGCACCCTCCTCGTCCTCGTTCTCCTCCTCTTCCTCCTCATCCTCTTCCTCCTCCTCCCCCCTTCCGTCGCCCTCCTCCGCCTCCTCCTCCTCTTTGTCCTCGTCCTGGTCCTCCTCCTCCTCCTCCTCTTCCTCCTCCTCCTCCTACTCTTACTCCTGCTCCTGTTCCTCCTCCTCTTCCTACTCCTGCTCCTGCTCCTCCCCCTCCTCCTCCTCCTCCTCCACCTCCTCCTCCTCCTCATCCGTGCACCCCCCAGCGCTCGCTGCGCGCAGGATTGTGACCCGCAGCAAACGAGTGCGACTGGCCAAGCAGTCCTTCTTTCTCGGAGCCTTCGAGGTGTCGGGGAGGTCTAGGAGGACGTCGGGGGAAGGATGGAAGCGAAAGGGAACAATGCGGGCTAGGCAGGGGGTGAGAGGAAAAATAGAGGGCGTACCCTCCTGTTTACGCCTCCTCTTCCTCCTCCTCCTCTTCCTCCTCCTCATTTTTTCTGACTCCCTCTACTTGCGAGTTCGCAACCACGCTGTGGCTATAAGCGAACTCCAGCCAATTCCGCATGACGTGGAAATTATTGTGGTTGAACTTTCACTTATGAGAGATAATGATGGGTGATCGCCCCTGCCCAGTACCAGTTTGCACGTTTCAGTTGAAATGTCCCCCCGGGGCTCACATGATGTTTCGTCTCAGAAGAAGTCACGAGCCTCAAACCGGGTTATCGGCCCCCGGTTTGCAACAACAGCGGCTCTCGCCCGGCACTTCCCCGCAATTCACGTCACATCGCGCTCTCGCTCGAGACGCCCTCACATCTTACGAATCGAGCTCTCGCCTAGGACTTCCTGGCAATTTACTGAGGCGCCGCGCTCTCGCACGAGATCTCCCCGCAATGTGCTCGGGACTCGTGCTCTCGCCTGAGGTTTCTTCCAAATTGACGACATTCGCTCCAATGCCCCCCCCTTCGTGACCCACCCGTCAGAGTCCGCCCGCCCAACTTGTCCGTTAGGGTCCGCCCCCCCGACCCGCCCGTTAGGATCCGCCCGGTCGCCTGGTTGGAAGCCCACCGGCCCGCTTCAATGGCTCGCCTGACCCGCCCGTTGGGGTCCGCCCGCCCGACCGGTCCATCAGGGTTCGGCCTTTCGCGCGCTTGGAAGTCCGCCCGCCCGCTTTGATGCCCAGCCCGTCCGACGCCCGTTAGGGTCCGCCCGCCCGACCCGCCTGTTAATGCCTGCTCGCCCGTCAAGGTCCGCTTGCCAAGTTGATTGCTCCTCTTTCCTCCCCCTTTCGCTAAACCTTTCTCGCTCTCAATCATCATCCCTTCCTCTTGCCGTCTCTTTTCCTCCTCCCTCGTTCTTTCCCTTTTCCTTTTCCTTCCTCCTCCTTATTTTAGTGTCCGCGTCAATTACACGTGGCAGGCAAGGAAGAAAGACGAAGAGGGCTTGTATCGATGGCTTCGGGTACGTATATATGTGTTGAAGATCACGCGAGACTAGCGAAGAACAGCTGGTCTTTCACAATTATGTTCCCCCCTCTCTCTCTCTCTTTCTCCCTGTCTTTGAGGAAGGACGCGAGGTAGGGCGGGGAGAGGAGCGAATGAGCGCCAGCGCCAGGACAACCTCCGCCTACCGCCCGGAGTGGCAGGCACGCAGCGGGCGCTGGACGCCGGGCTGGACGGCGAATGCTCCCTGGGGAAGGGCTCTCTGGTGCTGCTACCCGTCTTGCGACTGTTCCTGCTCCTCTTCTTCCTCCTCCTCCAGCAGTGACAGTGCGAGCGCTGTCGGGAGTTCTGTTGGCTTCAGTAGACGCTTCACCATCCTCATCCTCATCCTCCTCCTCGTCGTTCTCGTCGCTGTCGTCGTCGTCGTCGTCGTCGTCGTCGTCGTCGTCGTCGTCGTCGTCGTCGTCATCGTTACTATCGGCAATCGCCATCACCATCACTATGACCATAAGGCCGCCGCGAGCTCAGAGCTTTGTGGCGCAGCGGTTTCCTGGACGCGCCCCAACCGTTCCCAGGCTCTTGGGGCAGAGAGTTCATGCCATGTCGGCGCCGGGCGGGGGATTGGGTCTCCAGGCTCTCAGGAGCAGATCGTGCTCCAGCGGAGGCTGCAGGCGAGCGCAGTGAGGAGTGGATCCACATGAAGCTGGGCAAACACCACGACCCGACCAACTGCACAAAGGTCGCGAAACACATGCGCTACCACGTATCTTTGGCAACGAGCTTGTCAGCGCCATTGCGTACGACAACATTACGCAGGAGGGCCAGAACCACACCTACTGCACCATCATGGTATCCAGTTCCCCGGAGACGAACAGCCCCACGGTGTTCCCCACGACGGAGTCGAGCACCACATCGGATTCCAGCTTCTCGGAGTCAAGCAGCACCACGGTGTCCACCACGGCGGAGTCGAGCACCCCGTCGGCATCCACTTCTACGCAGGCAAGCAGCACCACGGCGTCCACTACGACGGACTCGATCACTGTTTCAGTATCTAGTACCACGGAGTTCATGAGTTCCACGGTGTCGAGAAGTACCTCAGCCACGAGGGCGCATGGTTCTCGTTGGGCGCCGCCAGGGTGACCCATGCAAGTGCCGTCCCCGGTGGCATCGGCCACGCATTAGGCGCGCTTCTGAAGAATCCCCCCCTCGCCCCAGCGCCTGGCGAGGTCAGCCTCGCAACCGCGGGCGTCACCCTAGACGTTTCCGAGCGCGGCGACGGCGCGGCGCGCGCGACGTTGGTCGCGAAACTAGGGTGCACCATTGGGGGCGAAGAGCCCCTGCGAGAATTGCGCGCAAAGGAGGGCCATGCAGGGGCCCTGCCGCGTGAACTTTGCAGAATTACGGTCAACTCTGAGCATGACTATAGCGCATGCAATGCCAGTGGTTGGTGCGTATCAGACGCCTCCCTGGACAAAAGCGATTGGATCTTCAACGCAGGCGCAACCGTCGTTGCGATATTGCACAGAAGCCGCCCCCATTGGGGACGGCTTGGTCGGGGCGAGATATCAGATGGACGATCTCGGCAGCTCGCTCAGCTTAGCGGCTGGAACGACCACCCGGAGCACGTCGCCTTGGGCCCTTGGGGCATGGCGTGGTGGCGCTCTTGTGTTTTGATGGGATGCACGTGCGCGTCGTGGGCATTGTTGCGATGGAGGCCACGGCGCTCCCGAACGCCTCAGCGGTCAAGAGGATCGCCGACGGCGGCGCCATCGGCGAATCTATCCAGACTTGGCCTTGGCCACGCAGGGTTCAACGCGCTCGCCGAGCGGTCGACGCTGGCGAGCTGTCAGCGGGCGCATCTGAGACCTAGTCCACTGCGCCCGTGCTCGCGCATTACTTTTGAGAGGTGGTTGCCAAACTTGAAGGCGGGGGGGGCTTCGCCGATGACGTTTCAAGCCTCTCGGCAGCGCGTGGCGTCTTGGACTCGTTCGTCGCCTCATCCATGGGCAAGACCGTCAGCTACGACGACCCTTCGTCCGCCGCAGCTGCGCCAAGTGTGCTTCAGCGGCAAATATTGGGCATGCAAGTCCCACGGGGCCGCGCATTCCCCAGATATGCATCGCAAATTCGGACCGTTGTCGTGCTTCGCGCACAAAAGGAAGCATTACATTGTCGAGCGGTCCTCGCATGATCACGTTTGTATGGAGCGCCCCGAGAAAGCCTCGGCTCGGACCGCCACTGCCTTACACGCTTCTGCCTTGCTGCTGGGCTTCGCGGGCCACTTGTAGCATCCAAGAAGTCGATCGATACCTTGAGGCATTTGCGCCCAGAGACGCAGTCGGCAGTTGCCAGAACCAAAACTCACAATGACAACAGTTCGTTCGATCGAGGTGACAGTGTTATGACGGGAGTTGAAAGCGGCCGCGCCGCCGTTCAAGTGTGGTTCCATGTCCAATGCAATAGTGAGACAGACTCGCAGTCGGAGCCGCTCAGCCTGGTCCTACGGTTGGGAACTCGGCGGGCGTGTTCGGGATGGAGCAGGCGCGACATCGACCAAGACGAAAACCCAGAGCTCATACCGACCCGCTCGTTGAAACACCCAACGGTCTACAGGAGGACCGACGACATCATGACTTACATCTGGCCTGCAGCTTGCAGCATGTCTTGCACGCGTGTGTTATTGTCAGAGGTTTGCAGCTTCTGGAATGCAGCCCCGCCCTTTGAAAATCATCACATGTCATCGAACATCCCCCACGCAACGTGCTAAACCATCGAAGAGATCAGGTTTACATGTCCGGGCAACAAACATATTTTTACATATAACGGCCGCGATCTAGTTGGTAGTCGCGATGATGGTAGTCGCGATGGGCCTTCAAGTACGTGTTAAACTGCAGGCGAGCAGGTAAGAGTAAACTTTCTTCCAATGATTTCTATTGAGAAAATGGTCTCCCCTGGTACACCCTGTTTTTTTCCTTCAATTTAAGTGCTCCCCCGGGGGCCCGCACCTTGTTCTCAACAAGGGAAGATCTTTCTCGTCAGATTGCGCTGTCGGCCGCCAGTTTGCAAAACACCGGCTGCCGCCTGATGCTTCCCCACCGTTCATTTCAAAATCGCGCTCTCGCGCGGGATTTTAATCGCGCTCTTGCGTGGGACTTCCACACAATTGATTCAGACGCCGCGCCTTCGACGCTCAGGAATCGTGTTATCGCTGTGGCTTCTTTCACGATTTAGTTGGGAATCGCGCTATCGTTCAATACGTCCTCCTGGTTCATGCAGGGGCTACGATTCAGTGACCCGCCTGCTCGACCTTCCTGCCTGGGCCCGCCTTCCCGATCAGCCCGGTAGGGTCGACCCGCCCGATCAGAACCGTCTGGTTCTGCCACGTGTTTTCGTCTCCTAGCCCCCGCTGCTGCTGATCTCTCTCGTGCTTCATCTTCCTCCATCGCCCTTCCATCCGTCCTCTACCCTCTTATTGCAGGGGCTGCACCAGATACACGTGGCAGGTAAGGAAGATATATTCCCAAGGGGGACACGGTCGAAGACGACGAGGGCGGGTATCGATGGTTCAGGATTTACGTGTTGAGTGGCGCGCAAGCAAGTCATATATGCAAAGCCAAAAACAAGTATTGTTGATCCCGCCTGCCCGGTGCACATTGCGTTGTTTAATTGAAGTGTTTTCCCCGGGATTCGCACCCTGTTTCTCGTATCAGGGAAAAGGTTGGTCCTCAAATTGGATTGCTTGCCCCCGGTTTACAACAACAACAACAACAACGGCTCCCGCTCGATATGTCCTCATAACTTATTTATATTCGCGCTCTGGCACGGGACTTCCTCAGAGTTTTCGCAGGAATCGCGCTCTCGCGCGGTTGTTCCTAGCGGCGCCGTGCCCCCGAGACTCAGGAATTACGCTCTCGCTCTGGAATTCCTAAAGATTTACTTGGGCATCGGTCGAGATGTCCTTGCGATTCATGTCGGATTGCCGCTTCAACGACGCGCCCGCTCGACCCGGCCGTCTGCGCCCGCCTGCCCGACCTGCCCTTCAGGGTCCGCCCACCCGACCCGCCCGTCTGGTTCTGCCGCCTGCACTTCTGCTCCTAACATGGCTCCTGCAAATCTCTCTCGTGCTCCGTCCTTCTCCCTACCCCCTCGTCTCCTTCCCTCTTCCCCTCCCTCTACCGTTTTAGGGACTGCGCCAACTACACGCAGCAGGTAGGGAAGCAATACCCCCAAGGGGGATACGATCGAAGACGAAGAGGGCGGGCATCGAGGGTTAGGAATATTCGTGTTGAGTGGCACGCGAGCAGGTAAGAACGAACAGTCTTAAAATGTGTGTTGAATCCTCATGTGTACAGAACAATCATTGTTGTTGATCCCCCCTTCCCAGTGCACATTGCGTTTTTAAATTACAGTGCTCCTCCCGGGGCTCGCACCCTGTTTTTGGTATCAGGGAAAGTCGTGTTGGATTGGCGCTTCAACGACGCGCCCGCTCGACCTGGCCGTCTGCGTCCGCCCGACCGACCTGCCCAATAAGGTATGCCCGCCCCACCCGCCCGTCTGGTTCTACCGCTTGTTTTCCTGCTCCTAATATTCCTCTTGCAAATCTCTCTCGTGCTCCGTCCTTCTCTCTCCCCCTTGTCTCTTTCCTCCTTCGTTCCCTCCCTCGTTTTAGGGACTGCGCCAACTATACGCAGCATGTAGGGAAGGTATACCCCCGGGGGGGGCAGGCTCGAAGACGAAGAGGGCGGGCATCGAGGTTTAAATATTTTCGTGCTGCATGGCACGCGAGCTGATATGATCTAACACTCCGAAGACTGAATTTTCACAACTGAAGAACAAGTATTGTTCATCCCCCCACCGGTGCACATTCTGTTTTTTCCATTTCAGTGCCCCGGGGCTCACATTTCTTGTATTACGGAAAGCGTTCCTCCTCAGATTGTGTTGTTGGCCGCCCTGCTTCAACGGCTCCCGCGTGATGCTTCCTCACAATGTATTCCAAAATCGCGCTCTTGCGCGGGACTTCCTCACAATTTATTTAGGAATCGGGCTCTCGCATGGGAGCTCCTCGCAATTTATTCAGACGCCGCTTCAGCAACCCGGCTGCTTGCGACCTTGCCGCCTGGGCCCGCCCTCCCGACCCGGCCGCTAGGGTCTGCCCGCCCGATCTGCTCGTAGCCTCCGCTGCTGTTGATCTCTGTCGTGCTCCATCCTTCTCCCTCACCCTTCCATCCGTCCTCTCTTCCCCTGATGTAGGGGGTGCACCAAATACACGCGGCAGGTAAAGAAGATATACCCCTAAGGGGGTACGGTCGAAAACGGAGGGCGGGTACCGAGGGTTTGGAATATACGTGTTGAATGGCACGCGAGCAGCAAGGAACGAACAGTCTTTGATTGTTGTTGTCGTCGTCCTCGGCCGCGACCCCCGGTGACCGACCCCGCGACTCGCCCGCGACCGACCCCGCGACACACCCCGTGAGCTACCCCGCGCCCGCCCCCACACTCCTATCCGTAAAATTACGGGGTGCTACGTAAAAGGTTCTTTCCTCTAGCAGCGGGCACCCTTCAGACAAATGGCAACATCGCGAGAAGTCACGACTGGAGCCTTGGACACCGTCTTTCTGCTGCACTTCTCAAGCCAGATCGATCAACCCGAAACAAGGCAGAATCGCTCGTTGCGACAAAATGCTGCGCCAGGGTCTCAGGGACCCCCCCAATGATTCTCGTTGTTCGGTCATAGGGTCAAAGCTCGGGTCTCTAGCGGCCCTTCGGGAAGATCTCGGCACTCGCAGAACGTTTTCTGCGAGGCGCATCTGCTGGATAGCATCCCGAGGCTGGAAAACCTCCGAGAAGCAACGGAAACAGCCGAGAACCTCGAACTTCGAGCCTCGACCTTAGGGATCTCAGAGCCCACCCCTGCCCGGGTCAGGTTACTGCCTGCTGCCCTCGTTCCTGCGCATGCTTCGCGAGCTGAAGCGCCAGGAGCGCTCGTTCACGCTGTTCTTCCGCACCTTCGGCGCGCGCCGCCCCCTTGGAGGGGGGGAGCAAGCACCGCTCAGCGGCACGCGATGGTTCGAGCCGAGCGCCGGCAGTCGTGGATGCCCTGCGGCCAATTGCGACGCTCGAGGCTCAAGGTTCGAAGATTGATGACGTTTTCGTCGTCGTCGTCTCCGCCGCCGTCGCCGCCGCCGCCGCCGCCGTCGTCGTCGTCGTCGTCGTCGTCGTCGTCGTCGTCGTCGTCTTCGTCGTGGTCGTCGTCGTCGTCGTGGAGGAGGAGGAGGAAGAGGAGGAGGTTCGATGTTTCGGGGTTCGTAATTTTCCCGCGTTTTCGTCCGTTCTCGGCACTCTTCCTGCCTCGGGATGCCTTCCAGCGGCCGCGCCTCGCCTGGGGCTTTCTGGGCGTGCCCGGATTATCGGGAACGTCGCCGGAAACCCGAGGGATGACCCGAAATTGGGCGACGAGGAACCCTATCCCTGCGGGTCCGATCGATGCTGGGGCATCGGACCGTCCCTGTGGACGTTTATAGATGATACGGTTGGACGATGCGAAGGCCCTGTGGAACCTGTGCTACCTGCTATGGATATTGTTGGCACGTCCTTGGCTCGAGGGTTGCAGCAGAATCGCTTGGTGGTTTCATCCAAGTCTGTGATCCTCGGCTCGTCAGCTTCCCTGGCCAAGAAGTCGGCAAAGAGGTTGCGTGCGAGGGGAGTTCCAGTGAAGCCAGTCTTGCAGGGCGTCGACCTCGGCGTCGACGTTGCGGCTGGCAGACGAAGAGTTTGTGCCAAGGCCATCTCGCGGCGCGTCAAGGCGCAGCGACGAGCTGGGCGTATCAAGAGACTGAGGCGCACGGCGGCACTTGGTCGTGAGGCCCGCTGCTTGTGGGCGACTGGCGCGTGCCCGCAGTCCACCTACGGGCACCAAGTCCATGGCACCTCGCCGTCGGCCTTGCTGGCGTTGCGGCGCCAGGCTGCTGCGGCCGTCACTGGTGGTCAAGGCGGGCGCTGCTTGACCAGCACGCTGGCGGCCTCCTTCGGCTTGAAGGACCCTGCGGTGGAGATACGTCGGCAGCTGGTTTTGGAATGGCTCAGTTTCTGGCAGGCCCACCCTCAGCTACATCGGCGTCCCAGACTCGTATGGCCGTCGATTCGGGGACGTCTTGTGAAGGCTGACAGGCGGCGCTGGGACGTCGTCAGAGGCCCCATCTCGGCGGTCATTGCTACATTGATGGATGTGGGGCGGGACCCGAAGACTGCAGCGGTCTGGACCCGCCCCACCCTGGCTGGAGTTGATGAGTGGCACATCCCTTCGAGCGGCGACGAGGCGTTTGAGCACTTCGGCTCCACCACGGAGCTGGTCGACGACCTCATCAGTGACATTCGCTCGGCGCTCTGGTCAGAGGCCAGTAAGCATGACAATGGCGAGGGCCTTGCGGGTGGCGGCGACTTCTTCCACATCATGAGGGAGCTCAAGCGTCACCAGGCCCGTAGCCAGTATGATGAACATGGATTGAATTTGACAGTCGTGGCTGGAGGGCAGTGGACTCGAGCTCGGAGGCACCTTTGCGGGTACAAGCTGGAGTCCACCACTTGCCCGCGGCGCATGAAGCATCCTGAGACACTTTTTCACAGGATATGGTCTTGCGAGAGCAACTGCGACCACGACGACTACGACAAGACT